TTAGAGTTTCTATGGGTACTTAGAGTTTCTATGGGTACTTAGAGGTTCTATGGGTACTTAGAGGTTCTATGAGTACTTAGAGTTTCTATGAGTACTTAGAGTTTGTATGACTTTTGTATGGGAACTTCGAGTTTCTATGGAACTTCCCATACGAACACTAAGTTCCTATACAAACTCTAAGTGCTTACAGAAACTCTAAGTACCCATAGAAACTCGAAGTTCCCATACAAACTCTAAATACTCATACAAATTCTAATCTCCCATACAATCTGTAAGTTCCCATAGAAACTGTAAGTTCCCAAACAAGAAGAGATTGTACCTATGGTCTTTCGTAGAATTTCCTAGAAACCACCAGGCTGCTTTTTCCAACCCCAAATAGGACTGGACTACTTTTTCCGCCTATCGGACTGGACTCCTTTTTCCACCAACCCGTAGAAGGTGTGTATGGGGACTCACCTTGACTGGTCCAACAGAATGACTGCCTGGGGCCGGCTGCGACCTGCTTGATGTTACTTGGCAGGCCGGGAACAGGCCGGGGGGAGCCGAGCGGTTGTTTGGAGATGACTCCCGTTCCAGCCTGTCCACTGTAGCCGTCACCCCAGCAAAAGACGGCTCCTATAATCCAAAACAGGAAAGAAAATCAGTCAAGAACCTTTTACGCTAGATACACAAAGGATAGCAGTTGCAGTCAGTGGTCATAGATATTAAATCTTTACTCCTGGAAGCTGAACATTGGTATAACAGGTGTACAGCATACAATAGCTTTACGATACACGACAAGCACGTCCATACATTGGTATAACACGGGTAACTACATAGACAATAGACGATAGGAGAGTGAGTGAGTGTGAGCTTACCTGAGGAGCTGAGGGCAACGGCGTGGTCGTCCCCCAATGCTACTTGCACCAGGTTCCTCTGGGAGAGGGCGTCCAGTTTTCGGGACATCCAGATTGTGCGCGGGCCCTCTCCTATTGTAAGAAAAAACAAAAAAGAAGATATGCATCAATGCTTCTGACTACTTTCCACACTCAGGCTTGGAGATGTATTAGTACAGGAAATTTTTTATTTAATAACTGGTAGATATTAGGACAAAACTGAGTGACTTACCCAGCTGGTACAAGTAGTTGTTCCCACAGCCCCAGATGTCGTCTGCTGCGGTCAGTCCAATGGTACTGTAAGTACCGCAGCAGACGTCAATGAACTCTGTGGCTGTGGTCCAGGGGGACGCGGTCAGGGACGACTCTGCAGGAAAACACGGAGGAAAGGACGCGTTATTATATTTCACAACTTCTGCCTGAGTTGTCAGAGAAGCCGCTATATTTACAGGTTCAGGAAATGAACGATGCTATCATAAAGAAGTCTGTACTGATACTAGTAGTAGCCTGACTAAATCTGCGCTCCTAGCGGCCGGCCCGGTATTACACCAGCCGCCTCCTTCGCCGACTGGTGTAATACCGGGCCGGCCGCTAGGAGCGCGGATTTAGTCAGGCTATACTGATAGATGATATAATCTCCAAGCAGATCTTTTGGTGGGGGTAAGACAGTATCAAATTGGCCAGTCTGTGTGGTAGCGACAAGAAAATGGCCATCTATAAAAAGAAAAACGATCTTCCACCATCAACCTCTGCTTGGAGAGTAAGATGATAAACATATACACCCAGTGTACATGTGAAAGTAAATACACCTGTACTCGTGCGTCCCAAGAGTAACTCTCAATCACGGTACTCACCCCGAGATGATCGTTTCAGGGCACGTCGCTCCCTGACCCTTCCTAATTGCCCTCGGTCTGCAGCACCACAGGTGGCGATGGAATTGCCTACCAGGACTGCTAGATGGTGAGCACCAGCAGCGATCTTGGTCGCTGGTGCCCACAGGGAGACCTCCAACAAGCGGGGACCAATGTCGTGGAATACCCCGCCTGCGTCCTGTACAGAAGTGGGAGAAATACATGTAACTAACTGTGCACCGAGTATAAAAATCACAAAGTGCAAAAGACCTCTATACACGTTACAAAAGACCTTACAGGAGAGGTTTCAACTGGACTGACGACCAACCTGGCCATAGATGCTACTCTACTCTAATCACAAACTACTAAAAAACGTGGTGCAACTCACCCTCAGCTGTCCCACCCAGAACACACGGCCCAGGGTGTCCAGTACGGCAGTGAAGCTGTCGCCACAGCACACCTGAGCCGCGATCATGGGGGGGCCAAGGGACACGGAGGTCACCCTCCGGCAGTCCTGGTCACCTGCGTCGGGCCTCGCGAGTTGTGCCTCATCATTAAGACCACAAGACAATACCTCCCCGTCGGCCGTAAGGAAGGCCGAGTGCAGACCCCCGGCGGCCACGTCCACGATGGTTTTACCACGTGGTACGACCACCGGGGTCGGCAGAAGCTGCTCCTGTTCCTGCGGGATCCCCAACTGACCGCAGTCTGTCTCACCAACACCCATGGGAATACCGGCAGGTCGCGAGGGAACAGGAGGAGCTCCGGGGAGGTCGTCCCGTGGCTCTGAGGGCGAGGCCCGGGGTGGCTGCAGACCCGTCTTTTGAGAACCTGTAGACGAGGGGAATAAAAAAAAAGAGGGAGGTCAGCATTAAGTATTTCACAAAAGAAACAAAGTACAGTGCAATCATTCCTCAGTGAGTAAGACGGTACGACAGCAACATGATTCCCGTGTAGATCCTTTATTTAACCTGACACTCAGAAACACTTCAAAAAGTTCTAAACACCAACCACGAGGCTGCAGGTGTTGACTGAGGAATGAAAGCAGTACATGATATAGCAATCAGCTGAGGAATGATTCTAGGTAACACAACAAGGTAGATGAGGAAAAATTACCCCCCCCCCCCTGGCTGATACACTGAGGGTGTGTGATCATATTCCCCAAAGATGAAATTCATTGATAGCTCCCTTGGGATTTGAGAGCTAGGCTTATACCCTACATCCGGTCCCTATGCTGGAAACATGTACAGCAGTGTGGCATCAAATAACTGCAACTCACCAATCAAAGCCATGAAGGTGTCATACTCGTCCTGGATGGAAGTGCCAGCATGCCTGATCCTCATTTTGTCGAACTGCACAAACACAAGAAAGTTTTAAAATCTTCAACACCATGTGAAGATATGGCAGTAGAGGAACGAGCGAATGTCAGGGAAAAGAAACTCTTATATGAGAGTGAAATATGATAACGACGTCCGAGACAGCACGCTACACTGTCTAGAAGTATAGAAGAGTTGTCGCGGCACCAGACTCCCTTTGAGTGTAAATGTGTGAAATCGTGTTGCTTTCCGGCACTGCTATAAGAAAAAAAAATGGTTAAGACATTCCCTCAATGCATAAGAATTTGTGTCTTATTTACTCACGATCATGGCCAGCTCTACCTCCAAGTCAATGTCTTCCTGCTCCCAGTGCATAAGGCCCATGGCCTTCCTTCGCCGAAGTACGAAATCCTGTAGATACAGCGATAATTCATTTGGTAGTCAGTTTCAGGTTGCTTTGTAAAAACATGTTTGAGACAACAGAGACATTTACAATTGCTGTACTACAAATCCCTTAATAAATAAAGACTATAGCCTGATTAAATCGGTATTACACCAGCCGCCCCCCCAGAAGTGTAATACCGGGCCGGCCGGTAGGAGCGCAGATTTAGTCAGGCTAATAAAGACTACAGATGCGTCTTGATGACTAGTGAAGAAATTGACTTACTTTAACCTTGGCGAATGGCAACCCCACCGCCGCTGCCTCGTCAAGCAGACCGGACAGCCTGGGACAACGGCGGTCGATTTTCATCAACCCCCGGCTCCATAACTCATTCAGCTTGTCCCGCTGTTCTGGCTTCATCACGGTTTACTACATGCAAACATACAAGGAGTCGCACCATACATGTATGAGTAACAGAAATATACATCCGAATGTTGCAAAAGATAACAAGTTTATCAAACACAAATTATGCAAAGGAAAATATTAAAACATCAGTAAACAAGACCTACCCACCTACCAAGTATCAAAATAATCCATCAAGGCCTTCTCAAGTTATCGTGTTTACAGACAGACAGACAGACACACACACACACACACACACACACACACACACACACACACACATACACACATACACGAACGCCTCTGAAAACATAACCTTCTTGGCGAAGGTAACTACCTTAAGGTAAACAGGCTTAAGTGCGCTCAGTGAATTCATAAAATGACATTTCAATGGACCTATTGTATTATTACGTCACAGTTTTTTTACCCCCAATGAATGCCGGGACAGTTACATTATTACGTCATTTGTTTACCTGTTCTAAATAACATTCTGGAACGGTCAGTTAAAGAATGAAGATAATTTCAAGTGTGTTTGATTTTTTGCTGTTGACACAGCATTACATGCCGTAATGGGTGATTTTGTTGTGACAGTAGACCAAAGTAGTATCAACTAAAGGCCTTATATCATAGCCTCCTTTTCAGGCGTGTGCGATCTACGTTTGATCAGAAAATACCCCCCCCCCAGAAAAAAAAATTAACGATCCGGGAACGCCTGAAAAGGAGGCTATGATATCAAGGCTATCGCTACACAAACACACACCGCGCGACGCACCCCTGTACAATATAAACATCAATGAACCTATACCATTATTACGTCACAGTTTGTTTACCTGTTCTAAAGAACATTCTAGAACGGTCAGTGAAAGAATAAAGATCATTTCAAAGTTTTCAAAGTAAGGTATGTCTGATTTTTGCTGCGTCTAGTTGTGTTGACACAGCATTACATGCCGCATGGGTGATTTAGTTGCGACATTAGACGATCGCGAAAATAGTACTGTATCAAAAGCCTTATTAAGGATACATGTATTAGGCTAACGCTACACAAACACACCGCGCTACGCACCCCTGTACAATATAAACGTCGTTTGACCGGCATTCATTACGGTAAACAAACTGTGACGTAACTGTACGCAATGTACGACGGTCTACGATAAATATGGCTACGCCAGCATAAAATGAGAAGTGATGGTCGGAATATCCAGTATATACAAACAATAAACGTTCTACTTACAGTCCACAAGAAGCTAACACGTGCGTGTGTGGCGTCTGAAACAGTCAAACAACAACAGATAAGTTTTTTTTTTAAATCCCTAACGGTGTCATTCGTTCGGAAGCTGTTCGAAGTGAACACCTGTTCGAACACCTGCCGAAGACCGGCCGTTACAAACAGTATGTTCGTGGTGAAGATTACTCATCCATATGGTACGTAGTAACAGTAAGAAAATAGCTGTGAAATGATGTCATGTTTACATGTACAAACGTACATAAACTTACATAGACTTTTGTAAGCCAGTTAATGCGTCATAGTTGTATTTCACCTATAGCGCTCAACCTGTTATGTTCGATAACGTTATGAATATAATACTTTTTATTAATAGTAAGAAAATATATTCTAAAACTGGATAGATTTTTAATTAGCAGACGTTTCGGGTGTTCATCCGAAACCCTTCATCAGTACCTGACAGCGCTCTACAACGGATTTAATTTTTTTTCAGGCACTTTGCCGTACTTTAGTTTCTTTCGTTTTCTACTGTTATTTCCTTCCTTTCCTTACCATTTTGAGAAAGTTTTTTTATAACTTTTGACAGTTACCTTTTGTTTACTACTTAGAATGTATTTTAGAACTTTTGTCAGTTACTTTTTGTTTATTTAGAACTCTCCTTAGAATATGGACTGTTTTTATCAGTACAAGTGAATGTTTACAGAGGAATTTACGGAACAAGAATTAAGTTCTAAATACAAACAAAAACAGTCCATATTCTAAGGAGAGTTCTAATAAACAAAAAGTAACTGACAAAAGCTCTAAGATATATTCTAAGTAGTAAACAAAAGGTAACTGTCAAAAGTTATAAAAAAACTTTCTCAAAATGGTAAGGAAAGGAAGGAAATAACTATAGAAAACGAAAGAAACTAAAGTACGGCAAAATTACAAGTCACAAGTGTCTGAAAAATTAAATTTGTTATAAAGCGCTGTCAAGTACTGATGAAGGGTGTCGGATGAACACCGAAACGCCTGCTAATTAAAAATCTATCCAATTTGAGAATATATTTTCTTACTATTATATTCATAACGTTATCGAACATAACAGGTTGGGCGCTATAGATGAAATACAACTATGACGCATTATCTGGCTTACAAAAGTCTATGTAAGTTTATGTACGTTTGTACATAATAATAAAATAATAGAGTAGTTAAATCTTTTCAAACTGGATTGGAATTTTAATAGGTAGACGTTTCAGGTACCGTGCGGTATCTTTCATCGGTACAAATGTTTCTAGAGGAATTTACGGAACGAGAAATAATTTCTAAATAAACAAAAAAAAAAGTCAATGTTCTAAAGAAGGTTCTAAATAAACAAAAGGTGACTGACAAGGTTCTAAGAACATTCTAAAGGTGTTCTAAATAAACAAAAGGTAACTACCAAAAGTTCTAAAACACATTCAAAAAAAGCAAAGAAAATAACTTATTAAAACTAAAGTACGGCAAAAATACAATCAAAAAGTGTCTGAATCCCAATCCAGTTTGAAAAGATTTAACTACTCTATTATTTTATCATCACCCTGGATGAATAATCTTCACCAATGTCTTAAAACATTCAGTAAACTTTGCCGATTTCAGTTGCTACTGAAAACTGTTCCCAAAAGAATTACAAATGGCGTGAGAAAAAGTCGTAAAATCACATACGATTGTCGTACGGTAGAAAAGTGCAAAACTTGTGTTTCGTTACGAAAAAGGTTGTCTTACGTAGATCCTTGTAGGCGGATAGTATTTTAACCTATAAAAAATGTCAGACATGAAAATCGTAGGATGAGTACATGAAAATCTTACGACGACATGATACTAATGTGACCGCACTGTAAAATGAATGTTGTTCGCCATGTTCAGTGTGTATGAATTTAAACAGTAAACGTTTTACTTACAGTTCAGTAGCTGGACAGGTGTGGCAGCGCACTGTTAGGGCGTCTTCACGCGCGATGTATTCAAAGTAAAAGACGTTCGTCTAATGCATTCGAAAACATCAACAGATATGTTCTTGAGTTCTTTCTCCAAGGTAACGAGCGCGAGATCACACGTTACCTGTTCGAACGCACGTGGCGAGTCACGTGCGTGTCACGTGGCGGACACGTGACTGGTATTTCCCGTTAGACATGCGCTTCCAACTCGCCATAGCATGGTAGTATCTCATGCCAACATATAAAAAAGATGTGAGATGAAACAATTGCTTATTAGTGACAGGATTAGATTGGAAATTTGCGGCATCCGAGCTAAGGTCGGACGTATACAATTTATTTTCCTGAGTACTGCGGTCAGACACTGTTGGATCACATTTCCAATCATATATGTTTCCCAACCGCTAGCTCAATTCAGTAAAACAGTTCCGCCGATACAGACACGAGTTTCCAAATAAAATTAGAAGATCTGCTTGGAGATTAGAAATGTTGTCTCTACCCAGACTTTGGAAGCGCTGGTGTGAGAAGAATTATTATTTTTTTTTTTTGTCAGCAAATTTCTGCTCTTTTCAGCCACATCCGAAGCATGGTACTGGTAGAGACTATAGGGGAAATTAACTACGTATCCCGTGGACTAGACTACCTCCGTGCGTGGACTGACTTAGCCTGGGTACCATCCTACTTGTATGCCGGGGCTCACACACTCGCTTCCCTAACAAGTAGGGAGGGAAGCGAGTGTGGGAGCCCCGGCAAACAAGTAGGATCGATGGTACCCAGGGCTACGTAGGACTGACTCTCGTGGCCAGATATTCTTCCCTTATTACTCCGTGAAGGAGGTCTGGACCTCCGGACGGAGTGTTGTGAGTAGCCGTTTTTTCGTGTTCGCAATAAAAACCCTGGGTTCTCTTTGTGTAATCGGCATGCAATTTTATACGCCGTCTGCGGGCATGCCCGTGATGAAGCACGAATGTGTATTTTTGCCGTTGCTGTTTTCGCGGTCAATGTAATATTTCAAATCAAGGACATTGTGCAAACGCACCCCTAACAATTTTGAGGCAAATTGGAATGGTCCAGAAAAACCCGTTCTTTTGAATAGCGGGGGGGGGGGGTAAAAAGTTCAGGCAGATGTACGGAGGGGTCAATAAGTGGTACCAGATTTCTTCAAGATGTTCGCAGCCAAAACGCATTGTTCTGTACGTAGCATTTCTGTTTAATTGGGCATGTGGTGTGCTATTATGGCCGTGATGATGCACGTCTTTTTATTTTCACCGTAGCAGTCTTGATATTGAAGCAAATGCATCTTTTAGAAACATCCCTACTTTTACAATCCTGTGGAATAGGCCGTAGGTTTAGGTAGTTGTCTGGTAGCCGAGGTTCTCTAAGCAGATATTAGGTGGCTGATGTGCATAATGGTTGCGAGTATCTTTGGGATTGTGGTTTGCACCTACTGCGATACCTTGTCAAATGAATAATAAAAAAAAATGTAGTAAATGAAAGGTATTGTTATGAAAGCTGACTTTGTTCATCTATTTGGATTGTCGTATTGTTGATTTTATGTAGCCTGTGTTTACACTAGTCAGTCTGCAATTGTTTCTCCAATTGTGAAACTAGCTACCATATACACAAGCGCAAAGCCACATGGGTGCATACATGTAGATACAAGTTCATCGTATGGACAAGCAATAGGGCATAACAAAGGTTTTAAAAGAATATTAATTGATATTAGGCGAATTCAACCAAATGCCACTGAAAAAAATCATCCAGACCATTTAAGATCACCGTATAAGTCTGAAACCAGACAAAGCCAGCAGTAGATCGGAACACCCGGTCTTTGAAATCCACTCATACTCAAAGACAGGCTTTCTTCCCACTACCAGTGGCTCTCTGAACAATGAACAGTTTAGCATTTCTATGTAGAAGAACGTCTTTTCAGTTTATACAATTTGCTTTTTACGAAATTATAAATGGAATGGAAGACTTTTTACTCATTTTATTTAGAAAACATGAACTGAGCATAAGGTGAATATGACAACAAGGTGATTACCAAAGGCTGTAAAATAATACAAGTATCGAAAGTATACATTCAATATAGTCTTGATAATTTTTATTGCGAATTTAAGTTTGTACGGTGTTCCAAAAGTATATTTTGGAGACGCATACGTAGCTATCGCCCGCCTCAGTCATCTTTTTTCGCAAAACTTACCTTTTCAAAAATAAAACATAAAAATACAAATAGTCTGCCTGTGCTGGTTTGCGCTGAAACTATACTCTAACTGCCAATCATCAAAGTCAAAGTAAGTCAATCACTGATTCATTCCATACTTAATTCTTACATTTTAAAACATATCATAACATACGTCTGAGTTAATAATAATTACCATGTAACATATTGATAGGAACTAATTGCCTCTGATTCAAGAAAAGGCAATCATACACAATACAAGGTACAGTTTGAGCTGTCGTGAAAGCCTATGACTATTTAAGTTTGTGACATTGGTAATTGAGAACAGGAGAAACGCAGGCAGATATTGACCAGGATTTCAGAACCAAGGACAGACTCTCTGCCTATCTAGTGAGATTTCTAAAACTTAGTACCATCACATCAGACCCAAAATCAGACAAAACAACAAACTGTTTTCATTTCACTTATTATAAGTTACATTTGTTTTGATTTCACTTATTATAAGTTACATTAACCAATCAGAAAGAAAGCTGACTTGATTGACAAATACTTGCTGTACAATCAAAAAGTAATACAGTTGGTTTGTGTCGGTAACATGATCGTACACAACAGCAACAAAGGCTACCCTTGGTACATTAAAGGGTAATGATATTTAAGACAGAAATGGTTTGTACAGAATTATGCACTATCAACAAATGGTAGGATTAGAAATGCTGCAATTCATGTAAAAAGGTCAACATAAGATCAATAAACCATCTATGCAGTTAGTCTTTGCATGAACGTGAAGTAACATTCCATATTAGTTCTCATTATATAAACCTGGGCACAGGTGATGTTCTTGGTTATAAGGCTTGATCAGTGAACACAGTATGATTATGTAACCTCATTATGTACATTCATGGGGCCTTCCATGGCTATTACATGTATGTTCCCAAAATGTGAGTGTTTTTACAATACAGTACATGACAGCAAAGGTACAGCATGCAAGAATATGTGTAAATGTCTGTAGATTTCAGTGGGCAAAAGCAGCAGAAGTGGATTAATGTCAAAGCTCATCATACCAAGCCCTTGTTTGAACTTTTACACCTAATTTGCAAATTTACAACTATTGGCAAAACATGTATCAGCATACATGTCACTTGTAAAGAATTCATATCACTTGTAAAGAATTCAATCAGCTCTAAAATCTGCATATATATTATTTTATACAATTCAGTCTACTCCAGATAATTACAAGGATAAAAAAACAATCAACTCTAAAATCTGTCGTATCAAATCTGTTGTATCATTGTTGTTGGAATCGTGTAGGTAGCTGAGATGTACATAAGCTGAGTTGTACATAATAAAATGCAAATTATGCAAATGAGGACCGAATGTGCATATAATTAAGGAGGAAATTTTATAATTACAGTGTTTTATATAATAGAATTTATACAATCATGCAATCTATTTAATCTGTGGCAGGAGTAACATCAACAGATACCAATTATGCTAATGATGACCTAATTTGCATAATTAATGTGAAAATTCTGTGACTCCTTATTGGTGAATGATGGGAATTTCATACCTCGTGACATGTGTAAGATTAACACCACTATACAAATATTATGTTAATGTAGATGTCATTTGCATAATTAATGAGGACATGTTGAAATGAAGTATGACAATGAAAGTAAGCCCATATTTCATGGAGGTATGAGATCTCGGAACTCTTGTTTTTGGCTTAGAAAATCTCACTAAAGACCTCAGGGGCCAGCTTTTGACGCGCGTCATCTCTGATGGCAGACAGAAGAACCCCACGCTCAATGATGCTTTGTCTGCCTCTGTCCGGGAAGAACCCCCGGGTGTGCATGAGCGCTACATTACCATACGTGTCAAACCCTGGGGAGCCTGAGGAGCCGTGGAACATAATGCCTGTATGGTACGTGGGTTTGCGTGGGTCTTCTAGAGGAAACTCAGGGTTCCCAAACTTAACATGGATAATGTGGCGTTGGTCCAACCCTGCGATGGGACAGAAGTCAACCAACTTGCTCCCACCGAAGGGATGGCCAACAAGTACCACCATGTTTCTTTGGTCTACACTGTCCGAGATATAGCACCCAAGATAAGGCAGGCTGTCTATGATACCTGCTATCTCATCATCTACAGCCAAACTCAGGATGGCATAGTCGAGGCCAGACTCGTCACTAGAACATTTGAGGGTGGTTGAAGGAAACCTTACTTTGTATTCCTCTGTTGGAGACACAAAGAATGTTGCAGTGAACAAGCTTAAATCAGTGAACCTTCCAGAGGCTGCATCCATGTCTTTATACACATGGAAACACGTGAGAATCTTTCTCTTACTCAACAGGAACCCTGTTCCCAAAGAACCCCCGGCCCAGTCAATACGACACACTGACCGCTTTCTGTCTTGTATAACATCATAAACAAATGAGGAAAGGCTATAGTTGAAACTACTGGAGAAGAGTTCCTCACGGAGAGTTTTCCTGTTGAGCTGTACCCTCTCCTTGTCTGCATCCCTGCTCGCAGCTTGGACAAAGTCCAGGTTGGGGAAGTTGGCACGTACAATGCTGGTCACTTGGCTCTGCAACTCCAGGAGCTGTTTACTCATCATCCGTTTCCTGAAAAATAGGGAAAAAATTTTTTAAACTCTTATGTCCTATGAGACAAAATAATGGGTGTAAGTTTAGCATCAACTGCACATCTGTAACTGTGGTCTGTACATATAGATTATTCTGAGAACTGATCTCCACCTAATACTTTCACTGATCCCTTGTTGTCAGCTACAAGAGGGAAATCACAAAATCCTCGAAATTATTCAAACAATGTCTGGATTAATTGTGGTTTGCTATTAACAATAAAAAAATTCAATTTACATTGTGTTTATCTTCTCTGCGATGGAACCCTGCCCTGCTGTAACCAGTGCTCTCTTCAGTCCGTCTACTGAAGCGTTGGTCCCAGAGAGATGCAGCCACTTCTCCAGTACTGCCAAACAGTGTGATGATGATGATGATGTGTGATCTTGCTGTCTCTGTCTGATTTGCTCGATGTCATCATCGGAAAGGCCCAGTTTTCTTCCAAGATCTTCCCACGGTGGCTTCATGTCAACAACAGCAGGGAAAAACTCTGCCACAGCTGGAGGTAAGAAGACAGAAAAAATAGAATTAGTCATCATCGATCAATCCATGTACAACTTTTTGTTTTTAAAGTTATAAAAAGGTGTATATACATGATTTGCTGCTAAAAATGGTAACTCTTGAGTACACTCAATGGTCAAGGTACAATCAGTACTGTAAGTACAATCTATTCAATCTATTTGTCCATAAATTAAATGACGTTTAAAATTTACAGAAGTATGAATTTAAAGAAAGCACAGCTATCTTACGTACATAAGACATCTGTCGCCACTGATGCAGTTGTTTCCTGTTGCATGGTTCTGCTGCTTTGACCAGCATGTCTACAGAGAAAAACATCATTCATTGGGTAAGAGAAGATAACGTATGTGTAAAGTAATAGAGACCAAAGGCAAACATGCCTAAAGTCTCACTCACAATATGAAAGCATACATTCAATTTGGTATAACATACTGCAATAGAATTGTAGGGACAATCTGGAATGTTTGAGCTGTCTCAAAACCCATGAAATGTGGTCCAATCTTGAAACATATTCTTAGGGTTCCCACTGCAGACACAAAAGAAGAAGCCTAAATTGTAAACATCTTTTGATATCATGTTTACAGAAGATAACATGGCAGATAACAAACACAGGTCTGTTATAATATCAATACACGCTAGCTATAGAGAAGATATTCAGCTACTTACAGGTTTCGGAACCACTGTGCCAGGCCGATGTCTTGAATGGTGGTTGTGGCAGGTGCAAAGGTTTCACAAGCGACTTCTCCATCCATGAACCATTCTGTGACACTTGTGATTGGGATAAAGCTGCTGGCATCCAGCTCCTTATCCTTGTGGTTAGCACAGCAACACTGGAGGCACCACTTGTACCGTATGCCCGGGATCCACTTGTTGATGATCTCCCTCAGGTCTTCATCCAGACCTTTCCTGATGTCAGGCCCATGGCTGAAGCAGGCACACCCTTCCTTCTCTGATGACAGCAGCTCCACCTTCAGGTAGTGGTCTTTCTTGGTGATGATGAAGGTCTGCTTTAGGTTGCTCGTGATGAACCTTGCACAGCGTGCATATGCCAGCGGCTTCCGCTTGTTGTATCGACGCATACTGGCAATGACAAGGCGGTGGTATACACCTACAGGGAAGAACTTCTCATCAAAGACAACAAAAATAGGCTTGCTGCATTTTGTACCGCTAGGATACAGTCTTTCTCTTTCCTTGACTGTGGTTAGGAGTGAAGGAACAAAGTAGGTGGTGGACTCTGAACTTGAACTGCTTGCAGCTGCCTCATCAGGACTGCACTGGAGGACCAGGTCGAACTGTTCCATCATCTTCAGCAGCTCATCTTTGTGAGCAATGAGGTCACACTTGAGCTCCTCTTGTTTCTTCTTCCACACGTCCATGATGAGGCTGTCTTCTAACACTCCTGTAGCCTCAAGCTGCTCCCATTTGTGTTTTACTTTAAGACCCCGAAACTTGGGGATGGTGATGATGGTTTTCTGGACATCCACAAACCACTGCGGGTCCAAGATCACAAAGTTGCGGAGTTCCGGGGTGTTGAAGAAGAGGATGTCTCCACACAGATGGAAAAACCTCAGGATGATGACAGTGTTTTCCTCTGGTGTGAATCCCTCTGGTACACGAGAGTGGTCAGTAGCAGCAATCACATCCTGAAGGCTGCAGTACTTCCTACCCTGTTTCTCCATTTCCATGAGCTTGGACTTCAGCTCCAGCCAACTGATGGGGATTCTCCTGCCCATGTGGTTTTGCTCTTGGGCAACTTTGAAGATTGCATCTCTCAAATCTGACAATTCTCGATCTTCCAGGTCACGCTTGGTGTTGTCAATGGCAAAGTACCTGTCATACACATCTTTGCCAATGGCCTTTCCTCTTAGATGATCTCTGAACTTGGTGAAGAAGTCCTCAATCTCTCCCTGAAAATGGGACATTTAAAAAAAAAAACATTAATTTTGTACTTCAGCAACAAACAATATGGAGTTGTTTCATTTCTCATATCACTTTTATAGTACTACGGGATAAATACATTAGCCAACCAATTCTTTTTCTAGCAATCAGACAAACCTTGTTTACTTGGTCCTTGTGTGTGCCCACTACAATCACAGGAGGCCCTCGGCCTTGGTTTTCTTCCAGATCACCAGCAGACTTGTTTGGTCTGGTGTGTGCTCGAATGGCCTCAAGATGGTAGTCTGCCACATCTAAATAAATAATAGAAACTTTATTTGAACGTAAATAGGAAGTGCATAGAAAGTGTGATGTTCAGATTTCAGTCTTTCAAGTCTATACGTTGATGAAGGTTAGACATCCAGGTAAACAATACTCATAGGAAATTCAAACTCTACTAATGAACTAACAAGTTCTGTTAGTTCATTAGTGATGCTGAAAAAGAGTGGTTGAGGTCACTCGAAACGTCCGGATATTATCTCATCTAGAGTTTGAATTTGCTATGAGTTTCAAGTCTAATATTAGTTTGCCTTTAAAAAAAAACAGGTTGATAATGTACTAAGACTTGAACAAGATTAAAAGTAATACTCTTCCTCAGTTAAGTAATCTGTTTTATAAAACTTAAGCGACGGTCACAACTCGCCGTGCGTGCTTTTTGTCTGTACGTTTTTGTCGTGGCTACGTCTGCTACGTTTTTTCTGCAAACGTAGGGTGGACGGCCGAGGGAGTACGTCACTCGCAAGGTGTACGTACGTGGTCTGCACGACACGCCTGGCCGTCAGCGGTTGCGTGCATCGTACGTTGCGCAAGTGGTGAGTTGTGCGTGCTTACAACGTACGATCTCTGTGCGATTGCCACGTTGCCGCGTACAGGCCGTACCTACAAGTGCGGCGTGCGCACGATTTCCTTACTCACTCGCACGTTGTAAGTGCGTGCACCTCCTGTTAACTTCATCATCACTAGCCGCCCTGGTGTCTTCCGAGGCCCGTTTCTTTGGATCTTGTCTGGTAGACTTCTTTTGAGCCTTCCTGGGCATCTTGGAGACGAGTTGGCAGTCGCCCGTCAAGTCGTCTTTATATACTGTAGAAATCAGGTGCGTTGCACGTGCGGAGCACCTAGTATGGTGCACGTGTGTTCTGCGTGGTCATTGAGCAGGTCAACTGGGAAGTGAGGAGTAAGCACGGATGACGCAAGCACCGTGCGTGGCACTCATGTGCTTCGTGCGCTGTCCGTACAGCAATTGCACGTGAGAATAGTGAAGTTAGACTCACGGAGTCCGTATGTTGCACGCTCATAGGCTGTACGGGGCACGCGCGTCGCACGTACTCGCACGCACGGGTGGTAAATCCGCAGACCGCACGTAGAAAAAGTATTACATGCACTTAAGGTTCTACGGCGTGTCTGCGTGCTCCCAAATCCGTAGGATTCCGTACGGAGGCGGTACTCACCACGCACGGATGCCGTACGTTTGCCCACGTTTTTGCACGTAGACAGCACGCAGAAGCACGTACAGCGAGTTGTGACCGTCGCTTTACAGATTTCCTCATTTTTCTTAAGCCTTCAGTCATGAGCAAACATCCCCACTGGATATTTAAGATAGCTCAAGTAAGTCTGATATGAACCATGCAGATTCTTAAGTTTATAGTTACCTGCTTCTGTTCTGAGTTGCAGGGCCTCTGCACAGCTACCACTCCAGGGCTCAAGTGGATCACTGAGAGCTTTAGTGAGATTCAGAGTGAGGATGAAGATGGCGTAATGGCTGTAGAAGACATGGTGGCTGCTGTAGTAAACGTCGTGTCCGGCAAAGTCCCAGATGGACATGGCGGGCTGTTCCTTGGATCCGACGATACTGGACAAGTCATCTTTGCCACGAGCGAACTGGGTGGCCAGTGCATAGTCCTCTGATAGGCTAGTTGTCCTTTCTGCCATCTCCTGCGTTCTAGCAGAATGTTCTCTTGGTGGTTTCTTATCCAGCGGTTCATCTGCTTGGTCTGTTTGTAATAGAAAGTAGGGAAATGCACACCAGATTCCATGTAGTACATACAAATGTATATGGCACTCAACATAAAGAAAAGCTGAAGTATGGAAAAGACTAAATTGATGTTTACGGGCCACAGAATTGCCATCAAATCAATATGTACTTGCATTGGTAGAACACTTCTGACGCTGATGACTGTTTCAAAGATTCATGGTCATTTGTAACGATCATAGATGTTGGTACAATCTCTGTATCGAGTGTATCTTAATAATAGATTGTTTGTAGAAAAATTCATCTGATTGGGAATGATGCAAATGCAGTTTTGCCAAATGCCAAACATATTATTAATTTTAGTACATGTTGTGGCTCCAGTATGAGATTCTCCATGGCATTAAAACATTATTCACTAACACGGAAAAAGCATGGAAAAGATTTGTTGTTCAAGTACATAAGTTAAGACATTGAAGTCGGAGGAAGGAAACAGAAAACATAAAATGGGGAAATGCCTACAAAACCTCTCTACATCCTATATCAATCCTACAAAAAATTTCTACGCATTGCCACTGGTTCTAGTTTCTACACCCAGTCTTCACCTCTATTAAAAAAACTTTAGACTTTTAAACATTTATGACATCAACAGATTTCAACTTGCACTTTTCATAGCCCAATATATAAACCATAAACTCCCGGATACTTTTAATGATTTTCTTAATTTTCGTTCACAGATTCACAACTATCAAACTCGTCAACGTTCTGATTTTCATATCCCCCTAGTAAAACTTCTCTTGCCCAGATGTCAGTTAGATACAAGATACAAAGGTGTCACCTTATGGAATGAACTAACTCCAGCCCTAAAGAGTCTTACCTTGTCTTTTTTCTCATTCAAGCAAGCTCTGAAAAACCATTTGATAAACGAACCTAGCCCCCTGTAGTAGTTTCAATTAGTGTTTTCTCTTATTTTAACTCATACTAATTATTATCATTATCATTATTGCGTTGTATTTATAACTTAGATTACCTTATTTCAATGTCATTAATCTATACAGTATATTATTTGATTACCCTTATTGTATTATTTCCATTTTCTATTGTATTATTTCCATTTATTGATTATATTTAATTTTGTATAGTTTAGAGGAGGAGGGCCTAGTATAAGCATTCCATGCTTCTCCCCTCCTCCTGCACCTGTTTTTATCCTTGCTTTGTATTATTACTGTCTTTTGTTTAATGTGCAAACTAATAAAATCAACAAAAAAAACTTGTCAGTCATTGTTGAAACTTCATGAAACAATTTTTTTGTACCTGTAGAGGTGGCTTGGTCAGGTTTAACCTCAGGGGCTCGTGTTGTCTTCTTTTCTTCTTTTGTTCTCTTGGGAACTTTTGGCTCTTTCTTCTTCTTTTCTTGAATCTTTTTCATCTCCGTGCCAACAGCGTGAGCAAACTGATGGTCCTTCATTCCTGACAAATAAACAAAATTATATATTTACTGTCTCTCTTAAAAGTTTTAACTTTGAATACAGCACCTCTAACTGGAGCATCAGTGTGATCAGAAGGTCCTGTGTTTGGGAGAGCCACACCCCACGCACATTAATGAACACACCGCACTTATCAAAAATAGTAGGAGACCTTCCCGGTGTGAGTGGTTCAAACCTTACAGTCTAGTTCGGTCTCGGGGTTGACATCTTTGAAGAGGTGATAGTCACCTGTTATGTCAATCCTTCCACAAATGTGGTAAATCATCATAAAACAAAATAAAACAAGAATTCCCAGACTTCATACCTCCATGAAATATGGGCTTGATATGTAAATGTAAATTTCCTCTTTAATTATGCAAATTACCTCCGCATTAACATGATATATGGATCATGATGTATGTTAACTTTTGATTAACTTACAGATGTCCCAAGTATGACATTCCCATCATTCACCATTACAAAATCATTGAATGTTTGCATAAATTATGCATATTAGGTCATCATTTGCATAATTAGTATCTGTTGATGTTCTGCCTGCCATAGGTTACATACATTACATGTATGAAAGTAGTATAATGTAAAACACTGTATTCATAGAATTTCCTCATTAATTATGCAAATAAAGTCCTCATTTGCATAATTTGCATTTAATCATGTACATCACTCTCTCAGCTACCTACACACCAAAAATTATGAAAATAGGTTGTTCCTATCTGGACTTATTGGCTTTTAAACATTCCGCCAGAAAGTGCCCTGCTGTTCCAGAACAAGCTGCTAGGGGGACCAAACTCACATCACTTATTCCTGACAGAAAAAGCAATCTGTCACCAAAACATCAATACCATAGCATGTTCAGGACAAAAGATACAAAAACTGGAAGTTTTGCTGCAGTACTAAGGTCATCCACCAGGAGGCCCATATTTGACCTTGACGTTTGTCGTCCTAAGACTTACCAACATACCAAATATCATCATAATCCATAAACTTAAGGCGTTCTGAAGTTATGCTGACCACAAAGTTGCGGAAACACAGACAGACACACAGACAGACAGACAGACAGACGTACATACAGACAGACACGCCAAAAACAATACCTCCATTTTTCATGGAGGTAATAATAAAACATAAAATAAATATGATGAAGACATTAACTTTTACAAAGGGGCCATTGTAAGATTTGCTTCTATCTGACCCAGGCATTTATGTAGGTAGAGAAAAATGTACATACCTTTTGTCATTTTCCACTGTTCCTTCCCAGTCATGAGACATGGAGTGATCACAATGCCATCAGTGCTCTCCTCATTCCTGTTGAACTCCAGTTGAAGCAAGCTGTTTTGCAAGCTGCTTTTTCCATTTCCGTGTTTCCCAGTCAGTATAAGCCTGATGTGGTAGTAATCTGTGGTGCCGTCTTTACAGGCCTGCTCGTAGAGAGCCATCATCTCTGGACCTCCCATCTCCACTTCAGTTGGCACTGATGCTGCATCAAAACAGTCATTGTTACTGGTTGAAAATCCACAAAATATAATTGCTAGTAGTACCCATATGTGGGAGGTAAATATGGGCTCAGGTATTGTATTCTTCCATCTACTGCAAGTCCTGTACATTTTCTTTATTATTCATTAGCTACTCACCACGAGGAAACCCAACTTGACCTCTCAGTTTCTGCTCTTCTGGAAGGTTCTTAGTCAGGGTTGACATGGCCTCCTGTGTCTCACTGTGATGCTGCATCTGTACAAGTTTCTGTTTTGCCTGCAGCTGTCTGATCATCTCCTTGGTCTGCTGCTGAAGTAAAATATAGTAAAGTTACAGCTAAAAAATCCACATCTACTGCCTTAGTTTGTGGGAGGTAAATATAAGGCTTAGCTCACTACAGGTACAAAATGTATACCAATTATATTACTGGAACACATTCTGTACTATCTATTAGCTACTCACACCACACAAGGAAACCTAACTTGACCAACCTGGGTTAACATGGCCTGTTCTGCCTGTCTGCTTATCTCCTTGGTCTGCTGCTGAAGTAAAATATAGTAAAGTTAACAGCTTAAAAATCCACATCTATTACTACTACCTTAGTTTATGGGAGGTAAATATAAGGCTTAGCTCACTACAGGTACAAAATGTATACCAATTGTATTACTGGAACACATTCTGTACTATCTATTAGCTCCTCACACCACACAAGGAAATTTAACCTAACTTGACCAACCTGGGTTAACATGGCCTGTTCTGCCAGGTGTCTGATCTTCTCCTTGGTCTGCTGCTCCTCCCGATGCCCCTCACCAGAAGACCCTCCGGCTGCCGGGTGCTTGGCTGGTGGCCCGCCTGATGTATCTGCCAGCTGCCGTTTAACTGGCTGGGCCTGAGATATAATGTTAGTTGGAACATTTCAGCAATAAATGTAGACAGATATAAAATATAAAAGATATGGTGAATTGTACCCACCAAAGCCAACTTGGTGCAAATACCTTAACCCTGCCTGCCTCCTGTGCCAGCTGGTCCATGCCAAAGTCGCTCAGCTCCTGCTGAAGCTTGTCCATGGACGCTTCACTGTCTGTCTCCATCCACTTCAACAGCACCTTGTTGGCTTGGGACCTTGGTGTTTGGGTCTTTGAAGCCTATTATACAGTAGAAGGATAAAGCAATCATTGTGACACAATGAATGTGTTTTGTAGAAAGTATATCACTTACTTACATGTGTAGTAGCAACATTTATACAAGTGCATAGATACTCCCTAAAAACAAGGCATAAGCCACCTTTCAGACTCAAACAAAACTTTCATCAAACGTTATCGGAACCAAAGTACATGTATTTACTTGGATGTTGCTCACCTCATCTGTGGAAAGCCCAAGTGCTCCGGCCAGATCTTCAACCTCATGTGTTTCAGTCACGTTTTGCGAGAAACGGGAGAAGAGCTTCCTCAGTTCTTTATCTACATGTATAATAGTTGAAACATTGACATTACATGTATTTGTAATTACTGGAATTTCATACATTCCAATTTTAGCCTTCATTAAAAAAAGTTTAGCATATATCTCTGAGACTCTACTAAGTTGAGTGGATATCTTTTTGATTTTAAGAAAAATGCATGATAAAAGTTATAAAAAGTTATATCATGTTGTACAGTACACACAGACATTTACACAGTTATCATTATTTACAATTATCATATAGCCGGGTGACGTTGACCAATCAGAAGGCTCCATTCCACATTCCTTATGACGCTGTAATGTCACAAATAGAGTCAAAACCGGGTATTTATTCATTTGTGCAGTCTTGTGTAGTACATTTGTGCATAATCTCGTATCATAATGAAACTGAAACAGGATTTAAAGACTTAAACCCAATATAAGATCACAAACTTATATCGGGAACTGTTTTAATCGGGAACAAAGTTGGTATACTGTACACAATGGCCAGGTCAACAGAAGGAAGAAGTGGTCTGAACGCATTGAACAGTATCTGATCCTTAAGCTTTGTGGCTTTAGCGAGGAGCACGGCGGTATTCTATGAAAGAAGACTCTGAGTATGGTTATGCCTGGAATCTTTTATGGGTCGTGTGGAGAGGAAATAGAGAAGCCCTCAGCAGCCACTGAAAGGATAGATTTTCATGACCATATGGTCCGGTCGGCCCCACAAGAAAACGAACATAGCCAAACTGCGTCGCCAACCTGAGAAATAACTACCACCTCAAAAATTGAAGATTGTTCAATTGCAACCAGGATACATATTTTATTTGAATTCTATCCAGGTTAAATTGCATTGATGACAGGATACATGGGGACTGTTATAGGTAGGTCACCCGTGGTACGCCTAGCAGGGCTGAGGTCGAGGTCAGGGCTGGTATAGAAAGTCGGGCTGTTTCCTGGGCTAAAAGTTTGATATGACGGTCCCTCTAACAAGTAAGGGACTGTACGATATTTACCGGGGGGGGGAGGCCGGTCGTCTGAGGGGGGAGGGTGGGGGGGGCCTAGGAAAAATATTTCAATTTGGGGGAGGGCCTAGTAGGTAAAATTTTTTTCCAAGATCCCTTTAACTCTACAACGTTTTTATACACATTCAAAAACAAGAGTTCCGAGATCTCATACCTCCATGAAATATGGGCTTGCTTTGTCCTCATTAATTATGCAAATAACCTCTACATTAACATAATATATGCATAGCGATGCAAACCTTTACGTAAGTTACACATGTTACGATGTATAAAATTCCCATCATTCACCAATAAGGATTCACAGAAGTTTCACATTAATTATGCAAATTAGGTCATCATTTGCATAATTGGTATCTGTTGATGTTCCGCCTGCCACAGATTAAATAGATTACATGTATAGCAGTACCATTATATGAAACACTGTAATTATAGAATTTCCTCATTAATTATGCAAATTAAGTCCTCATTTGCATAATTATAGAATTTCCTCATTAATTATGCAAATTAAGTCCTCATTTGCATAATTTGCATTTAATCATGTACAACTGTCTCTCAGGTACCTACACACCAAAAATGAAAATATGTTGTTCCAATCTGGACTTATTGGCTTTGAAAGTTTTTACCAGAAACTAACCTGCAGTTCCAGAACAAGCTGCTAGGGGGACCAAACTTACGCCACTTATTCCTGACAGGTTAAGCTATTTGTCACCAAAAAGTCAAGACCATAGCATGTTCAGGACAAAAGATACAAAAACCGGAAGTTCTGCTGCAGTACCAAGGTCATCCACCAGGAGGCCCATACTTGACCTTGACCTTTGTCTTTCCAAGACTTACCATCATACCAAATATCATCACAATCCATAAAGGCGTTCTGAAGTTATGCTGACTACAAAGTTGCGGAAACACACACAGACACACACACAGACAGACAGACACACACACAGACAGCAAATGTCTGTAAGGATCAAACAATGGTGGCAGGGGTCAAAAAATCGATTTGGCTCAAATTTTGCACACTGATAGTACTTGGCCCACAACCCCTCAAAATAGCTTTCTTTCTGCTCCACACCGATCGTTGCCATGGTAACAGCCCAAACATGTTTTGGGGCCATTTTCCCTGATTTGGGCATGCCAGAAACATGAAAATTGCCAAAGTTTAGTGCACTATTACAAACAAATGCTTGAATATATCGGAAAGACAAAAACTGTGCTGAAATGTCCAACTTATCTGCTTTTCTAAAATAGCTTTGAAATTTTCAAGAGGTCCGTTTAAGGGTCTGGGCATCCCGAAGACAATACAGTGTTTTGGGCTTTTGAAATATCCTTATTTCTGCCCATTTTTGAAGCGCTGTAACTCCAAAGATGGTGATTTTTTTTCTTTCAAAATGTGATAACAGATACATAATCATATGTGCTATAAAATGCATGTTTGTAAAGTTTGGCCAATTGTTTGGTTCTCACGTGGTTGTCCTCGGAAGTAGGTCACATTTTACGATTCAAGAAAAATACAAATTTTTTCCATATTTAAGATACAATATATACAATACGAAAACAGCAATCTACTACTACTTTAAGTAATAAGTAATCCTATTGATTGTCTATCAAATGAATGCTTGTGGAGGCTGTAGTCTTGTTTCGTTGCTGTGTACTTGTCCCTGAAAGTAGGCCATATTTTGGACATGTGTTAAAATTATCATTTTGGGCTGTCTTTGAAGCTTTACAACTGACAAAGTAGGATGTTATTTGAATCCAATCTTTGTAGGGTGGTACATACATGTACTGTGTATCAAATGGTACCTTGTTGAGGTTGGAGTCTTGTCTCGTTGTTGTGTACTAGTCCCTGAAAGTAGGCCATATTTTGGAGTGTGCGGAATATTATCATGTTTGGCTAGCTTTGGAGCTTTATAAGTGACAAAGTAGGATGTTTTTTGAATCCAATCTTTGTAGGGTAGTAAATACATGTATTGTGTATCAAATGGATTCTTGTTGAGGTTGGAGTCTTGTTTCGTTGTTGTGTAATTGTCCCTGAAAGTAGGTCATATTTTGGACATGTGCGGAAATTTTCATTTTTGGCTATCTTTGAAGCTCTATAACTGACAAAGTAGGATGTTATTTGAATCCAATCTTTGTAGGGTAGTATATACATGTATTGTGTATCAAATGATATCTTGTTGAGGTTGGAGTCTTGTTTCGTTGTTGTTTTCTTGTCCCTGAAAGTAGGCCATATATTTGACATTACAGAAATTGCATAATATACGGCTGTTTTTGAAGCAGTAATATGACAAAGCAATATTTTATTTGAATTCAATATTTTAAGGGAAGCACATAATTATATGCATTTTGTATCAAATGAATACTTGTGGAGGTTCGGGTCTTGTGTCGTTATTGTGCACTTGTCCCCATATCTAAACACGGTGGTCAAAATTGGGCCCCGATCTCCCCACCTGCAGTAGAACCCGAACCATGTTCGATCTGACGTAATTCGAATAGAACGGTGTTCGAAATGGGGTCACCCGCGGTCATTTACAGTAAACCTGGGTCTTCCGGCCCCATTTTACATGTGTACCTCCTAACAGAAAAAAATCCACCTTTTAACAAATATATACCATTTCCTGGACAACTACATGTCTGCCTTCATTTTGTAGTGGCCTGGAACATGAAACGAAGCTACTGCCGTTATCGTGGGTGACCTTGAAGATCGCAATGCTTGTACTCATCAGCCTAAATAAACACTAGTCATATTCATCCCGTATGACATGCGTCCAAAACTCGTTTAAGATTGGAAGCATGGAGACTCCAACATATCTCATTGACGGCTCAAAATGACCGTAACGGGTTTGTCCAGAATCGTGTCTTAGAGATTTTCGAAAAAGGACCTTGATTTTGAATTATGAGCAATTGAGTGCGAAAAATGTCAAAAAATGCCGTTTTTTCACATTTATGTCGACAAAAACTATACTTAAAATCAGAAATTAAAAAATTCCTATGACACGATTTTTGATCTTATTCCTAGTCGTCGAAAAATATAAAAATCGGGGATTTGGGGGTAACATACGTAGCCAATCTTAAACGATGTTTGCCTAAAAACATGACTCGGACTGTCTCGGACTGGTGCTCCAAATCCCGCAAAAAATCGTCTTTCGGAGCGAGATTTTTCAAAATTAGTAATTTAACTTAAACAACTAACATTAAACCTATGTAAACACGATAATTTCATTTTATTTTGACGGAATTTACCCGTCAATACTATTTGTTTATTTTCAAGTGGTTTACGGGTAGTTAAAAACAGGCCAAACTTGCGTCTTGTAACCTGATACGTTTTCGAACCCCCCTAGCAATGGGAAAGAATACCGTAGTGACAGACCGCCGTGAAACATTAGCACACGTGCACTTCCGTACTTGAAGCCCTATAAACGCCAAGGTAGGACGTTATTCAAATTCGATTCTTTAGCAGAAGCAACTTGATCTATTGTCTATGAAATAAATATATCGAAACGTGAGCAATATTTTCTACTTTCGGGGACAGTTACAAGAAAACAACATGGAATATGTCGTAAGTATAGAGCAACTAAGCCAGAACCCACCTTCTATAGGCCTTCATTTCATGGACAATAGATAAGTTACTTCTGCTAGAGAATTGAATTTAAATAACGTCCTACCTTGGCGTTTATAGGGCTTCAAGTACGGAAGTGCACATGTGTGCTAATGTCTTTATATGTTTGAATATGGGGACAAGTGCACAATAACCACACAAGACCCGAACCTCCACAATTATTCATTTGATACAAAATGCATATAATTATGTGCTTCCCTTAAAATATTAAATTCAAATAAAATACTACTTTGTCATATTTACGGCTTCAAAAACAGCCGTATATTATGCAATTTCTGTAATGTCCAATATATAGCCTACTTTCAGGGACAATTACACAGACACGAAACAAGACTCCAACCTCAACAAGAATCCATTTGATACACATGTATAAACTACCCTACAAAGATTGGATTCAAAAACATTCTACTTTGTCAGTTATACAGCTTCAAAGATAGCCAAAAATGAAAATTTCCAAACAAGTCCAAACTATGGCCTACTTTCAGGGACAATTACACAACAACGAAACAAGACTCCAACCTCAACAAGATATCATTTGATATACAATACATGTATATACTACCCTACAAAGATTGGATTCAAATAACATCCTACTTTGTCAGTTATAGAGCTTCAAAGAGAGCCAAAAATGAAAATTTCCGCACAAGTCCAAAATATGGCCTACTAGTACTTTCAGGGAAAATTACACAACAACGAAACAAGACTCCAACCTCAACAAGATATCATTTGATACACAATACATGTATGTACTACCCTACAAAGATTGAATTCAAATAACATCCTACTTTGTCACTTATAAAGCTCCAAAGCTAGCCAGACATGATAATATTCCGCACACTCCAAAATATGGCCTACTTTCAGGGACAAGTACACAACAACGAGACAAGACTCCAACCTCAACAAGGTACCATTTGATACACAGTACATGTATGTACCACCCTACAAAGATTGGATTCAAATAACATCCTACTTTGTCAGTTGTAAAGCTTCAAAGATAGCCCAAAATGATAATTTTAACACATGTCCAAAATATGGCCTACTTTCAGGGACAAGTACACAGCATTGAAACAAGACTACAGCCTCCACAAGCATTCATTTGATAGACAATCAATAGGATTACTTATTACTTAAAGTAGTAGTAGATTGCTGTTTTCGTATTGTATATATTGTATCTTAAATATGAAAAAAATTTGTATTTTTCTTGAATCGTAAAATATGACCTACTTCCGAGGACAACCACGTGAGAACCAAACAATTGGCCAAACTTTACAAACATGCATTTTATAGCACATATGATTATGTATCTGTTATCACATTTTGAAAGAAAAAAAATCACCATCTTTGGAGTTACAGCGCTTCAAAAATGGGCAGAAATAGGGATATTTCAAAAGCCCAAAACACTGTATTGTCTTCGGGATGCCCAGACCCTTAAACGGACCTCTTGAAAATTTTAAATCTATTTTAGAAAAGCAGATAAGTTGGACATTTCAGCAAAGTTTTTGTCTTTCCGATATATTCAAGCATTTGTCTGTAATCGTGCCCTAAACTTTGGCAATTTTCATGTTTCTGGCATGCCCAAATCAGGGAAAATGGCCCCAAAACATGTTTGGGCTGTTACCATGGCAACGATCGGTGTGGAGCAGAAAGAAAGCTATTTTGAGGGGTTGTGGGCCAAGTACTATCAGTGTGCAAAATTTGAGCCAAATCGATTTTTTGACCCCTGCCACCATTGTTTGATCCTTACAGACATTTGCTCTTAAACGTCTGTCCATACATATCATAGTGATTTGCCGGTCACTGGAATTGGCAGAATTTTACGTTCCAATAATATCCATCCCTATTATTATAATGTATTCGCCCAAATCCCCCACAGTCCCCTTCAAAATCTTGCATTTTCGCCAGAATCGGCGAAACTGGACTACACAGCAAAATTACATGGATTAAAATCGCGGCAATCGCGACACCGCGAAACGATACCGATCAAAAATGTAGGGAAGGCTTGTCTGAAGATTTTTAATTTCGCCGTTCAACGCACCCTTCCCAGTGGTGTGCATGCGTCGCCAAAGGTGACCCGCTGGTCCCGCCTCGCAACTCGCTCGAACTTCTCGGCATGGATGTCGGATGTCGACGGATTAATTTGGTATTTTTTTAAACCAAGGACTATTTTAACATTCATATCTATGTCCCTCCAAAGTTAATTGAAAACAACACGTAACTTGGCAATATTGTTTCCCTGTTTGTAATAAAATTGACGCGGAAGACGTGGACGAAGCGTAGGCTAGATAGAGGATAATTTATTTTGATTACACTGAATGAACTTAACGTTATTGACTTTAAATTTATAGCTCGATGTACCAGCAAAATTTGTGCTGCCAAATTTGCCCCTCAACATGCAAAACATGGGTTGAAATTCAAAATTTTTCCGGGGGGTGGGGGGGGTGGG